AAAAAAAAAAAAAAAAAAAAAACACACCCCCCGGCCTTTCAAAAACCACCCAGCTCTTGGTCACTTTTTGGAAGGCCACGAGAGTGGGGAGGGTCCGGATCTCTGCTGGTAGCTCATTCCACAGAGCCAGAGCAGCTACAGAGAAGGCTCTCCCCTGAATGGTCACCAGCTGGCATTGTCCGGTCGACAGCACCCGGAGGAGGCCTAGCCTGTGAGTTCTTATCGGACGTTGGGTGGCGTGTAGCAGGAGGCGGTCTCTCAGATATCCAGGTCCAATGCCATGTAGGGCTTTAAAGGTGATCACCAGCACTTTGTAGCGCGTCCGGAGATCCTTGTTTTTATTGTCCTGTACCGTCTGCCAGATGGTAATAGTTAAAAAAAAAGCGGGAGCCCAGGATGAGATGGATCCTTAAGAATGTTTTGAACTTTCTTAAGGCAGCGGGAGCTATAAAGCTCTTCCAAAGAGGGGAGGGGGCAACCCATGATCCTCTGAGCAATGATGTTCACCCTCTGTAACACTGTCCTATCTGCCACTGTGCTATTGGCAAACCAGACACAGGGGAGCAAGTTAAAATACTCTCTATGGTGCAGTGGTAGAAGGTCACCAAGGTATTCTGTGAGCTAAAGCAAAGTGAGGTCCTTTAAACAACAACAAAAACAACAACAAGTGATCAGTACAATTCTCATTTGCCCCATTGTAAAAACCAGAGTTTGGTTTCTGAATTTCACCCTGTGTTCTGTTGCTGTTCCTTTTCTTTTAATGTACATTTTTAAGGTATGTTTTTTTTTGCTCATTCCATTTCTTTCTTTCTTTATTTCTGCTAACCAATAGTTGTTGTTTTGGAGAGGCACTGTCTATAAACCTTATGTAAGTCATTTGCAAATGCTGTTTTTCTCTTGATTCATTAGTTTTGTGACGCCAGGTTTTCCCACTTCATTGTCCACGTCTATCCTTTGCTATTTTCTAAAAAATAAAACTTGTGTCGTTGTCTGGGGAAAATACCGCCCACAATCTATATTTCATTTTTAGCGAAACTGTAGTGACAATGCAGGGTTTTAGGGAAATGCCTTCCATCTAATATATCTTGAAAATGAAGGGCTGCTTCCAGTTCCAGTTCTCTCGTGGGTAGTGTACATACACTGGGTGACATCGCCAGATCTCGCTGCTTTAGCAGAGTAAGGAAGATACTCAAAGATGATTCACTAGCTATTGCTATTGCTATTGCTATTGCTATATTCACACCCTGGTCAGTGTCTCTTTGCACTTTTGCCATTAGGCAGAAGACATCAAAGTATAGCCAGCCGAACAAACAGGTTGGGCTGTGAGACTTTTAAATACAACCACAATCACTCCATGCACANGCTTCTCATCCAAGAAGCTTCTTCAGCTCTGATAGGAATAGTGGGGAATGGAAGGGTTTACACTCCTTGCAGACAGCTGGCCATTTGCATTCTTTGAGAGGGTGGTTGAGGCCACCTGGAGGTTTATCTGTGTCCTCAGGGTCACCTGAGTTAGTGCTCCTGGTTCCTGTAGTCTACAGTTTTTCCTCTGGAATCCATTCCTACTCCCACACCATTCCAAGGGGCTTCATCCCAAATTGCATAGCTCAAAGTCTGTCGAGATTCTCAATCATCTAGGTCCTGGTTGTCCCAAAGGGGCTTTTTCGGGAGGCAACTGAGACCACCATGACCTGCATGACTGAGAATCTCGACAGACTATTTATTCAGCAGTTTATTTCCTAGTTCCTGGGGAATCCATCGGACATGATCTTGGTCAGGAGAAGGATGACCATGTCAGGCCTCCAGTCATATTCCTTTTGGGATCTTTGGCCTGCTACACTCTCTCTTATTTTACTATGCTGTTTCATTAGTGGGGAATTGGGAGGGGGGAATAGTAAGGAGCAGAATGTGTTGTTGTCAAAATAAAGCATTCCTTTCTAGAAGCCCAAGGTCATCCTTTGTTTCCGCACCTCTGCGCATAGAACTAGATGGGTGGAAATGCCAGCGTGGCAGTGGAAGATTGGACCATGGGATGGACTTGTGGGTGTGGGGGCAAGATCATGAACTTTCAACTGGGTGGAAACCCAGGAAGCTTTTGGATTCGGGTTTCCCACAGATGTACCAACATGTCTCTCTTATTAAATTGGAACTTTGATGAAGGCTATGCCTTGGATTCTGATTTAATTCTGGATGATATTTGGAACGCTGACAGACCAAAGATGACCCAGGCCTAGTTTTAAACCCGCTGCGTTCTTCTCTTCCAGGGCACCGTGAAGCAGCTGCTGCCCTTCTCTGAATTGGAAGGCAATCCCTGCTTTCTGGACGTCTGCGGGAATTACCTGACCGTGGGAACCGACTTGTCTCACTTTAAGATCTTTGATCTTTCTCGCAGGTACGGAGCTTTTCCATTTGCTCTTTTTTTAATTTTGCAAACGGAATGCCATTGTTGACGATCAATTTCACAGGGAAAGGAAATCACCTGTCAGACCTGGAAGCCATCTTTTACATCTGGGCCTTCAGGCCTGCCACTTTTCTACTAAGGGAAGATGGGAGGGGGGATTAGATGGAGTGTGGGAGATACATAGATACATTCCTTTCTCAGAGAGTCAAAGCCACCTTGCCCTCCAGCTGCGCTGGTGTGACTGGGAGGCATCTCCGATTTTGGATGGTCCCTGATTGCGCCATGTGAGGGACATGTGGATGGTGAGCAGGGAGTTAGATTGTCTTTTGGGTGGGGAAAACCTGGAAACTTTCAGATTCGGGTTTTCCCAGATGTGCCAATAGGTAAAGGTAAAGGTTCCCATTGCACATATGTGCCAGTCGTTCCCAACTAGGGGGCGGTGCACCTCTCCGTTTCAAAGCCAAAGAGCCAGCGCTGTCTGAAGACGTCTCCGTGGTCATGTGCCTGGCAGGACTAAATGTCAAAGGTGCACGAAACGCTGTTACCTTCCCACCAAAGGTGGTTCCCTATTTTTCTACTTGCATTTTTTACGTGCTTTTGAACTGCTAGGTTGGCAGAAGCTGGGACAAGTCACGGGAGCTCACTCCGTTACGCGGCACTAGGGATTCGAATCTCCAAACTGCCAACCTTTCTGATCGACAAGCTGAGCTTTTCTTAGCCACTGAGTCACCGCGTCCCTTGATGTGCCAATAGGACATCCCTAATAAAATGGAACTTTGAGGCACCTCAAGCCTTGGAGTTTTCTTTCGTTGGGGGTGTTACTTGGAACCCTGACACCAGGACTGATGACGTGACCTGTTCAGTCTCTTGTCTTCCCCACAGGGAGGCGAAGGTACATTGCAATAGCAAGGCCTTGGCAGATCTCCTGCCCGGCGCCCTCGGGATCGCATCCGTGAAGTGCAACACAAGCGGCAACCGAGTCAGCATTCTCCTGAGCAAGGTGAGTCTGAACAATCCCCACCTTTCACCTGAAAACCCAAAGGGAACCTGGTTAATACCACTCGATAATGTAAAACTACCCTTGGAATAGGGCATCTGTTTTTGGTTCACCACGATATACAGGTAGATTGACTTAGCAACTGTATTACTCACTAACACAATGATTCATTTGACAACTGTGGCAAGAAAAGTCATAAAATGGGGCAAACCTCCTTAACAAATGTTTCACTTAGCGACATAAATTTGGGGCTCAATTGTCGTAACTCGAGAACTACCTGTAAAAAAGACATTGAGACTTTAGAAAGAGTGCAGAGAAGAGCAACAAAGATGATTAGGGGACTTGGGGATAAAACATATGAGGAATGGTTGCAGGAGTTGAGTTTAATGAAAAGAAGGACTAGGGGAGCCATGATAGCAATCTTCCAGTATCTCAGGGGCTCCCACAAAGAAGAGGGAGTCAAACTATTCTCCAAAGCATCTGAGGGTAGAACAAGAAGCAATGGGTGGAAACTAATCAAGGAGAGAAGCAACCTGGAATTAAGGAGAAACTTCCTGACAGTCAGAACAATTAATCAGTGAAACTGCTTGCCTCCAGAAGTTGTGAATGCTCCAACACTGGACATTTTTAAGAAGAGATTGGACAACCATTTGTCTGCAGTGGTGTAGGGTTTCCTGCCTAAGCAAGGGTTGGACTAGAAGAGCTCCAAGGTCCCTTCCAATTCTGTTATTTTATTCTAATCTAATCTATTCTAATCTAATTAATCTAATCCACAAAGAAGAAACCAAACTATTCGCCAAAGCACCTGAAGGCAGGACAAGAAGCAATGGGTGGAAACTAATCAAGGAGAGAAGCAACCTAGAACTAAGGAGAAATTTCCTGACACTTTGAACAATTAATCAGTGGGATGACTTGCCTCCAGCAGTTGTGAATGCTCCAACACTGGAAGTTTTTAAGAAGATGTTGGATAACCATTTGTCTGAAGTGGTGTAGGATTTCCTGCCTAAGCAAGGGGTTGGACTAGAGGACCTCCAAGATCCCTTCCAATTCTGATATTCTGTTATTCTGCAACATCAAACCACTAGGCCAAGTTAGGTTTAAGTCCGTGTTTAAGCAGATTTGACTTTTCCCATTTAAAAAAAAAATCTGGACAGATTTTTAAAAATTGGGGGGAACCTAATTGGAGTCTTTTGAGGGGGGGGCTCTTCCTTTAGGACATTAGTGAGTTGCAGTCATTCAAGAAATGACTGGTTCCACATTTACAATATTGCGGAAAGTATCTGGGAATATTATCAATATTTTTTCGGTTCAGTACTTCCTGGTTTTCTGTGGCTATCTTTCCTATTGTCAATTGTACCTCTTTTTTAAATTGTTATAGGCCGATGGTAGTTTCGACCCTAGGATTTGTTTCTACGACATTGAAATGGACACAGTCACCCTGTTTGATTTTGAGTCAGGTCGACAAAGAGATGCTAAAGAAATGCTCTCCTTGGGACAGGAGACTGAAGGGTGAGGTTTTTTATCTCTTTTTGGGTTAGGTATTGTGGAATATAGATGAATTGTTTTATGAAATGAAAGATCCAGCAGGGGTCACTGTGAAATGAAAAGGTTTATCCCAATGTTCAAAGAAAGCATGGAATAGTTTTTTTTTTAATGGAATATGTGCGTAGTAGAATACTTTCATGCTGTGTTGTGGGTGCGTGCCAGAGGCAAACCCACAGGAACCTTTATTATTCCTTTTGTGATCTCAGAAGAGGTCTCCTTTTATTGGCCTCTCCTTTTTTGAGGGGGTGGGTGGAGAAGAGTTTATCTTTTCCCCCTCTTCTAGTGGAAGATGAATTTTGGGAATGGTTCTCTTGTTTAATTCAACCTTATTGGCTTGGAAACAATTGCACAATGGTTCTGATCTTTGCAAGCAACGCTTAGAGTACACGCCCTTAGAGGCCAGCTGGCCATTGCAGGACCATGGAAAGCTCCACCTTGGATTACCATCTCTGGTTGACCACAGACAAGGCCCTTTGATGCCTGCAGGGCCAACTGTCTTCTCTCAAAGAAGAGAGAAGACAGTTGGCCCTGTCTTCTCTCTTCTCAACCCGGAGAAGACCGAGTGGCTGTTGTGTTTTCCTCCCAATGATTCGATCAGTGTTCCATCGCTCAGGCTGGGGGGTCAAATTTTATACCCCTCAGAGAGGGTTCGCAACTTGGGAGTCCTCCTGGATCCACAGCTGACTTTCGACCACCATCTGACGGCTGTGACCAGGGGGGCATTTGCCCAGGTTCGCCAGTTGCGACCCTACCTGAACCGGGAGGCCCTCACAACAGTCACTCGGGCCCTTGTGACCTCTAGGCTGGAATACTGC